AGTTTCTTCTGAGACTTTCGATAAGTCTTACGCTGATGTCTTCTCAGTCTTCTGTCGGACACGAGTCTGATTTGAAGGGAGACAAGTGCTGCTTCCTTGTGGAGGAGCTGAATCAGTACATAGAGGGGCAACTGAGCTCTTCCCTTCCCTCGGGTTTTGAGGGCGTTGTGCCACCCCTCCAGGTCATTGTTCGTTCTGACGGCTTCCATATACACACTCCAAGTTGCTAGTGGGAAGGTATGGTTGATAATCCAGTTGTCACTCAGGTATTGGCTAAAGGTTTTCAAGGCCTCTGTTGTCGCTCATCGCTGGAGGTGATTGAAACGTCTTTCTATTTTTTCTGCTGGCAGGAACGGTAAAGCCATCATTTTTCTCACGTACTCGTACGTGCCGTGGTCTCTGTTGTATGCTTCCTGAAGGCCAAGCTCTTGTACCTAGAAGAAAATGAAAAAAGGTTAATGAATGTTTAAGTCGTGTTATTGTACTGACGTTTTGTTTATTTGATTTTTCAAAATTTTATGTTTGTTTGATTTTGTTTTTTAAGTGTGTTGACAATTAGCTAGCACTACACATGCGCTTTGGTATTTTTTTTCAAACCTATCATGCTTGTAAAACTTATTATCATCCTAACCTTCCTCCATAAGGCTTGCGTACAGTGGAAGGAACAGCCCATCAACTCCACATTTGGCATCACCTGGCGGATGGCGCTCCACATTGGCTTTTCGAAGTCAAGATCTATCTTATGAAAAGTAAAGTGAAAGTAAAATGCTTATAATTACCTGCACATGTATCAACCGCACAGTCCTACTGTACGTGGAAAAGATCGTTCGAAAAGGCCTGGGTTCAAAGAGAAGTGTTAGGTTAGGTTGTGTCATGCATCGATCGACTTCAAGATTTCCTTTAGACTTTAGGATTTCCTTAAGTCTGGTTCTCCTTTAAGATTTGAAACTGTACTCTATGTGGTAACCCAGATGTCAAGGATATTTTGCGTTCTCCAAGACCACCGTGAAGTTAATTGATAAGAAAATCCATCGATTGAAACATCAAGAGAAGAGAAGGCAGGAGTATAACTGATTTGGTAAATTTTATTATATCATAACTCACAATGTTGTGGTTTTTTAACTTTGTATATCGCAACGTGGTTGGTGGCTAATCGTCTAGAAAGTGGGGGCTAGTTGTCGGGGGCTAATTGTCTGGGGGGCGAATTGTCCAGATTCCTTTTTTTACACACTTGGGAATCCCGAGATCAATCGTCAATAAATATACCCTGCAAGTTTCAAGAACATTGAAAACTGGGAAGGCTTTTAAACAGGGTCTCAAATATAACCAATTCCCACCCCCTCCAGATTTTGTGTTTACCAGTGAGTATCCTCACTATTCACTGGCATTGTTTTCAAGTTTCAAATGCATAAATTTGGATCAAATAGGACGCTTGGCCACTTTCTGAAAAAATCTCCAGAATGAATGAATATAACTGAAAACTTGACACAGAATCTTACATGTGAGACTGCCATAAGAGCGTTTAAAACAAAACTTAGAGAGGAGATGCTGGGGGAGTCCTCGTTTGCTTCCCACACCTCAACCCCCATGTCATCACCAGTAAGAGTGCTGACGACTATCCTACCTGAAAAGGTATTCTTTTTTCGTAACATTTAAGTAACATTTATTTGGTTACAGCACTTCTAATGACAATACTTACATTTACATGGAGGGAAAATAAAAACAACGTACAAGAGAGAAAGGAAAAATACAATGTTACAACATTTACAACTAATTAAGCCTGAAAAAGTTTTAAAAATTTGACTACTATTTGCAAAGTAAAAAGACAAGGTATTTTTACCCAAAGTATTTTTTGTAAGAAACTGAGTAATCAGTAAGCTATGGCCAATACAGTTAGCACTAAAAGAAGAACAACTTTATATGCTGAATGTGGGGTGAGCTTAACAAACTTCTATTTATCAGAGTTACTGTTCATTTGCCCTTTCTTTTCGAAATCTAAAATCTCAACAAAGCACAATACAGCATCTACGAAATCTCCTTCCAGTTTTTAGCACCTGGAAGTCCTTTTTTTTGGAGGAAAAAAGCCACCAACTCCAGTACTTCTAACCGTCCATTTTTCAGCTGCAATGTATCCCAGCTGCTTGTACTTGGTAATTTATTCAAGCTTACTAAAGCCTGGCTGCTAAAGCCAGCTGCAATGTAGTACAGCTGCTTGTACTTGGTAATTTATTCAAGCTTACTAAAGCCTGGTTGTGGCTGTGAATGGCGGCACATGATAGCCGTGGCGATGAACATAACAACAAAACGTTTAATCATACACGAGGCTGAATCAACTCACAAGTATCATCACAAACATCCGTTGGAAAGCTTTAGAAATCCGTAGCACGACAAAGAAAAACTGAAACAAACGACTCACAAAACACTTGGGAAACTTGAAGAAAACCATAGTGAAAACTTCAGGTTATTTCACGGTGGCCTTGTGCCCGCCAATGCCGAGGCCCCGTGCGCATGCTCCTAATAAACAAGGGGGTAAGCCCGCTGGTCAGGATACCAGCAGTTACACTGGTTTTTACTAGCACACAAGCATAAGGACATACGCTTGCACAGATTGGCATATTTGACTCAGTTGTCAATACCAACTCTACTCAAGCCGATGATTAGCAAGATGACTGATGAAGGTGATGTCTTACTATTTGCATTGCTTGTCATCTACCTCTTTCGGTTTAGAAGGCGTCAAAAGGTCAAGAAAATCAGAAGACCTAAAAGATTTTATGTTAGGGAAGTCTACCTCCACAGACAAGCTCAAGGAGACTTTCATAAATTGGTTTTGAAACTTCGTGGTAATGATAGAGAGCACTACTTTAGGTAATGTCAAAGCTTGTAACAAATACTGCTTACAAAAAGACCCTCTATGACATTTGCAGAGCAGAGTGCAAAGCCTTACCCTGGCACTAGATAAGGCCTAATTGCATTTTAACCGTAAATTGGGTTTCACAACTTATCCAAAGCCCAGGGTTGGCATTTAACTACCGTTTCTTGTCTGTATCATTGTAGTTATCAGCGGTATCAGGAGGAAATGTCAGAGCTTTTATGATGCCTTTTGTTCACTTTTTTAAAATAACTAAAATATATATTACCATGAAATCTTTTCTTACTTTGTAGTGAGAAAATTCATTCTAGACAACTGTTCGAAGGATGAAACGATCAATGCTGGGAAAGACATAACTCGTACCTGCAGTCTGAGACAAAAATAGTCGGGACACTTGGACCAAACACTGTTTTTTTCCTTCTCATGCTCCCCTTGTCCCTCTCAAAGTTGTTTATCGCGGTTCAGTCACCAAACCTTGTACACAAACATTGAGGGGACAAGGAGACAGAAAAGTGTCCCAACAATCTTGACTGAGACTGTAGTTATTGTTTCATTTATGATGGAGTGAGGTGTTCTTAGAGGAACAGAGGGAAGTCAAACTCTGGACCTATATTAATAATTCAACAGACCCGTACTGCTCACATACTGCCTCTGCCATGGCAGCTGACATCCAGCATCAAATATGAAATTTTAACAGGGCATCTCGCACTTGAACAGGATCATTGGAGTTTCTTCTTCCTCTCAGTGGAGCAATGTCTACCGTTGCAGCACCCCACCACCACCTCTTAGCACTTGAGCACGCCACTCTCCAGGTTTAAATTGTCCACTGTCTGTTCACTGTAAACAAAGCCATAAGGACAGTATATGGCAGAGTTGGTAAGCCTAAGAAAGTTATGAAGGCAAACAGCATCTTTTGTGATGCGGAGTCCACAAACATGACTCCGTAAATAACCCACTGATTCCACAAAAGAAATTGAGAGGATCGGGACCTGTTTGCTATTAACTTTTAAGAAACTAAAAGACTTTATAAAGCTGGACCTTTTGGTTGCTGCGTCCAGGTTTTTAAACAAAATATGTCATCCCCCGTTGAATAATAAGGGAGAGGATCTTGAAATCCTCAAGGGGTACTGGGTCTGGAATTCCAAGAGTGATGGTTTCAAGGGCTCCTCCCATAGCAGAGTTCTGCAGTATATCGCTGTCATTATTGCTACCGAAGTCACCAATGTTTACCAGAGTGAAAACATAGTCTGTGACAATGAATCACTGACAGCACTACTTTAAAATACTTAAATTCCCACCTACTTCTTTCCTTGCCCCACCTACTTCACAAAGTAGAGAGCCTTGAGAAAAACAATCGAAATATCGACAAAAACACAGCCCTCTGGTTTATTAGTTCATTGGCATACAAAAGAAGAACTGCATCAATATTATTATTTGAACAGGAATGTTCTTCAAGAAAGCTGTAGTTTATTAACAGGCTCCGGAGTGGGGAAAAGCAAATTTGCTGTCCTCCCTAGTCTGTGCATGGCCCTCTTCACACACTGATTTCTCTTTTCACTTTCCCCACTTAGGAGCCTGAAATCCACTTGCCTTCTATATTTATTACTTAAAAATACTGAACAGCATTACATTTTTTATCACTTAACGGCAAAGAGCAACATGAAGTTTGGTTATCAACTAAACATTAATATGTAACGAGGAAAGAGGAAGCAGCTCGAACAGATAAAACTAGCTGCACTACGAATATTAACAAACAACTTGCAAGCCAGGTGTAATAATTCTTACCAATGCCAAGACAGCAGAAGCTGTTACCTAGGCGGGAAGCACTAGGGCTGCTTTCTCTTAGCAATAATTATACCCAAGCATGTCCACGCAGCTGAAAGAAACAACCTGGAGGAAATGTTTGAGCACTTTCTACCTTTCCAACTTTAGGTGATAACCCTAAGGAGTGTTGGGGAAGTGGGGGTGTCATATTTTGCCTCTCAGCATATTCCACATTGGTAGTTTCAGGATACCTGGCAGTTGCATAGCCAACAGTCTGACCTTCTGGTGAACTACTCCTTAGCAGGCAGTTACAAATAATATTGTTTATTTGCATCCTGGTTGAAAGTCTGTCTTTGTTTGGCATCTTTCACAGTTGGGATGCAATAAGTTCCCCAAATAGGCTTTCTTCATCTTTCACTGCTCGTTTATTAATACGGTGTCGCCCAATACTCCACATAACATCCATCTCTGCTGCTTCAATTCCTTCAGTTGTTTTAGGACGCTTGGTATGCTGATACTTTGATCGGCTCGTGATTTTTTACTAATATAATGGCTTTTATGTATCAGAAAAAGATTACTCTGTCGTGCTGCTTCTGGTAGAACAGCTGTCAAGTGGAATAGCTTCATCTTCATTTCCATCATCTGTTGCATCTTCTACCACAACAAGGTTAGTGGTAGATCGCCTGGGTTGAATATATGGCTCAAACCAAGCTAGAAACCAATATGTCTCATTCGTTTCAGTGTTGTCATCTACCACTGACTGAGTATCAGTCCCACTAACTTTAGCACTCTGCATTTTCTTCATATTTAGGCTGTATCGATTCCTTAAGTTTTTGAAAGCAGTTTCCACATCCTTTCCTGCAAATTTTTAACCCCCACATTCAATTACAATTCAGAGAACCCCATCTCTATAAAAGCTTATACTTCTGTAACTGTTTTCAGAGTTTTGTCTGACATGGTAAATAAATACCTTTTTAAGTGCCAGACTAGGACAGCAGTAAAATAACCACTAAATGGGGACCCTTAGGGAAATAACTAACTTCTTACAACACTGAAAATACCAAGGCTATTTACATATATATGTGTGTGTTTTTAACTATTAAATAAAAATGACGATGTTGAGATGTGAGTAACATTATGCTAACACTATTACAAATGCATATATGTGGAAGTAAAAGAATACTAAAATGTCTATCACGAAATACATAGTAAGGATGCAATCGTGTAATAAACATCGATCAACATGAAATTCAAGTCTAACTTTGAAATATACTGCCTAAAAACGGAGAATGTAGGCAATCCTCTCACAGTAGACACTAAATTCTGCACAGCTGATCTCACTTCGTGAAAAGCACGACAACAAAAGAACCAAAAACAGAGCGGGGTCGTAGCTGTAGACACCTGTTTCACCCTTTTGGGGGCTCTTCAGTGCGGCACAACAAACAGAGAGGCTCTGCCTTAAAATTCCCACACACTCCGTTTCAGAGCTCTGACATTTTACCCAAACACTCGCAGAATCACGCCATATTATTTCCCGTGTTTCCTGTACCATCAGCTATGCAGAATTCAGTGTTTCTACTCAGTGTTTATTTTTGCTGGTCAGGTCTTTGATAGATCCTACGCTTTGTGGCATACTCGTTTGCGGTCATTTGCGGTTGAAATGTCAATTTAATCCTCTCACACCCTGAGGCAGAATATTTCATAATGAGGGCCAGGATTAGATATAAGTAGGACAAATTCCTTGTTTCTCAGAAAACTGTTTTGCACCATGAAAAATGTCCAGCAAAAGCCTACATTATATATTAAGCTACGTGCAAACGTACACAACAACTACCAACATTGTTGCGCCAACAACGTTGGGAGTTGTTGGGTGCATGTTGGCAGTGGTGTGCAAACAGATGCAACAACTCCCAACAATGTTGGGACCTTCAGTGCATCATGGGAAGGATACAACCAAGAAGACCATGCATAATGAGCATGCGTGGCCCCAACAATGTTGGAAGAGCTGTGCAAACGGATCCAACATTGTTTCACTATGCTTCGGCAATCACAGAACAAAAGAAATGTTGGGAGTTGTGGGCTGAAAAGTTTGACCGGTTTGAAACTTTGCGCAACGGCATGCAACAGGGTGTGCAAATGGACGCAACATGTAACATCCAAAAATGTTGGGAAGTTTTTGCTAACAATGTTGTGCCCGTTTGCAGTAGCCTTATGTGTATGACTTGTACCTGAGGGAAAATCGGCCTTTTGAGCAACGTCCTGATTGGTGCATGGCCATGTGCTTATGCTTATATTGCCAGTGTTCTCACTTGCTTACACTTGTGCTTATGCTTGTCCGCTAGTGAAAACCAGGCTTATATTTGCCAACATTCACAAGGGGAAGTTTGCCATTAAAAAAATGAGAAGCATAAGTATGACATCAGATTGCGGACGTAGTCAACAGTCGTTCTACATAGGGTGGGTAACCTCTTCCCTGGGTGGTTTGAACTATCCTTGGTAGGGTGGGTTACTGTAGGTCGAGGCAGTTTTTCAATTTCCTCGTAGGATCGCCCTGTTCTTCGCAGGGTGGGTCACTTTATCGTAGGGTCATTGTGTTCATTCTAGAGTGGGCTAGTTGGTCGTAGGGTTGGGCTGTGCTTCGTAGGGTAGGTCAACCTGTGGTAGGGTCGTTCTCCTCTTCGAAAGATGATTCCTTTTGCTCCAGCCGGGTTCCTGATTGTTTCTTCACAGGGCCGCTGTCAATAAAACTGTCCTGTGGTACTGTTGCTCCATCTTGGGGCAAAAATGGTTGTCTTATATGAAGTACCTATTTAGCTTCTTTTTTGTGGCTATTTCATATGACTTTGTACAGTGAATGGTCAAATGTTCTTCTGGCTCAAACTACTTCATCCACCCACTCTGCACCTGCATGAACCGCGTACAACCTCACTATACAATTTTCTTCATGCTTTGTTCCCTTTGCTTTATGTCTCATTAAGACCATTTGGCCTGAAGAGTTTGCTTTTTTGATGGTATGGGAAGCTTAACCCGCCAAATACCGGCTGCTCTTAGGGCTACATCAAGCACGAATTAAGTGCCGTCATCTAGACCTAATGGTGTAGGTCAAGCGCCTGAAATGATTGACTATCCAGGTCGCACGCTCCAGAGCCACAACTGAAACAAGGCTAAGGAACGGCGCGCTCAGTCCAAGCCTTCGTAATGCCGCAGCGGATCTAGTGGCCAGAAGTCCCCTCCAATTCATAGCCAGAGCCTCAAAGGCAATGTGCCTAGGCTCAAAGCATAGTTGGGCCCACTGTCCAATGGCTGGAACATCAGAATAGACACACTTGTCATTCTGGGTCTTTTCAAGGTGGCTTGGGCTCCAGGGGAGTCACCCCCATCCACCCTACCGTCATGTGTACCAATAGCACAAGCTGAAGAGGAAGAACTCCCCCCAGCAGGGCCGTCGTGGGTTCCATGCGTGCTGTTCAATAATTACAAGATTCTCTTATACTCCTCCGACTGCTGCATTTTCTTAATTGCTTCAGAAGATCGACCCGGGAGCTGTTCTGCCAAGGTCTTACTATTGACCTCAATTCCAGCCTCAAGCATTGTGATCTCTTCCCTCGCCAAGAGAACCTTTTCCTCGTAGTCCCAGCGTGCTTTCCTCCTCTGCTCAGGCACATGATCTTTATGTTAGGCCTCCGCATGCACACGGTGACAATGGAGAGAGATCCCCGCTTTGCCCTGAAACTCACGACCGCAGTTGGCACATGGCAGGAGACCTGCACCACCGGCCACCCTTTGAGCAGGTCGAGCATCACTAGGAGTGCCCACTGTGGCATTTCCTCCATGTCTTGTATGTTATCTCATAGCAATGCATTAAACTCCTAGGGGTTGCTAGCCCCCAGGAGCTTAAAGCACCTTTAGCTTCGCCAACCAGTACTCACTGCCGCCAGCTGGTGGGAAAACTCATCGTCCAACGTGGGACAAGCCCGCAAGGCCCAAAGGACCAGTTCACTACACCTCACTCACATAAGTTACAGAGGGCTTGTAGGGCAAGCTGACAGCCCAGATGTTAGCCAAAAGGCATGATGTAAAAGCCTGGCAGGGCAAGATCACAGCCAAGGCAAGATATTATAAGCCCAGGGGCCTCAGGCCACCAGCTGGGCAGTGGCATTCAGCCCGTCCCGCCAATGTCCATGGGCAGCATATGGCCCACACATTTATGTAGGGCTATTTGTCTTAACCATGCCTCATACAAAACACAAAACTATTCACAGCTCAATCAAGAGCAACACAAGCCAGAGGGACTAAGCCCTTGATATATATATGCGAGTGAGGGGCTACATGATCCCCTGGGCCCAGCAGACCAGGCCCACGCCAGGCGCGGTTGTGTAGACTAGGGGTAGGATGCATCGGCCAACTAATAGGGACCCCCGCCACGACAAGGCAGCACCCTTAAGAGAGGTGTATCTTCTTCCCATGGTTTTTCACCTACGTACTTAGAATGGCCAAAAAAGCAAACAAAGTCGTTTTGATTTTAAAAGACGCCATCGCCGAAAATAGAAGGGGAAAATAGGCTCAATAGTCAAGAGGCTGAGCATCAACCTTCAGCAACTCCTTCAACATCCTCTTTATTTTTGTCAGAGGTTGTAGCAAAAGATTTGAAGTAAGTTTGTTCATGAATAGTTTCGTTTTTGATGTCCCGATCAGACTGGCTAGGGACGCTTTGTTCAATTTCTTGAATGTCCAGCCTGCCCTTAAAATATGTAGGTTAATTTTTTGTCAACATTTATTTCAGATGAGCCTTCCCTTCTCTTTCTGGTGGCCGAAAAAGGCCATTCCCCGGTCGTGCTAAGACACATGGTCACATGGTCTTTGTGGTATGCCTCTTTGTGAGCGCGTTGTCGGTGCTGCGAGAACCCCGCCTTGCCACGGAACTCACGACCGCAGTCCGGGCATGGTAGGAGACCAGCACCATCGGTCACCCTTCGAGCAGATCGAGCGTCACTGGTAGAGCCCGCTGTGGCAGGCTCCCCATTGTTATCACTAGTATTGTCAAAAGCAACGCAAACAACTACTGCAGGCTGCTAACCCGCAGCAGCTTGGGGCACCTTTAGCTTTGCCGACTGATACGACCACCCCCAGCTGGTGGTAAAGCACGCAACCACAAGCCCGCCAAGCTCAACAGCACCACACCACTCACAGAGAAAGCTGGGCAAGATCACAGCCCGTTGTTAGTAAGCCATAGACAGGTGGAACAGTGAGGCTAGGCAGAATGTAATAGCCTAGGGGCCTATGGCCGCCGGCTGGCGGCGGTAATGTGCTTGCCTGTCCCGCGGTGTATCCGTGGGCAGTTTAAGGCCTGCACGTCTGTAGGGCCTTCCGCCCTACCGTGCACATTTACCAGATGTTAACAATCTTCAGCTCAACAGAGCGTAGGCAGGGACATAGCCCTGGTGTAATAGTGAGTGTAGGGTACCATCGTTTGCAAGGCAGACCTGGCCCTGCCAGGTGCGGCTGTGTAGACAAGGGGCAGCACGCACCAGTCGACTACTAACGACTCTCGCCACGAGAAGGCAGCACCCTGGATGAATTAGGAGAGTTACGAGAAGCGGGCTTAGGATGTCGTAAAATAGTTTTCCCTTCTAAATCTGGAGATTTCAATCATCTTCATGAGATGCTTGAGAAGGAGTTTACAAAGTCAAAGACCCAAAACGGTGCATTTGAGTTGTTAAGAGCAGAATCAGGAGGCATATCAAGACCTCTGAAGCTTCTGTCCATGCCAAGTAATGGCTATAGTATGCTGCACTTAAAGAACCT